CAGGGAACCATAATTTTCTTTATTTTGTTTATAATGACTCCAGTCACTAAAATTTCTTCAATAAAATATAGTTAAATGAACTATGGCTTAACATTCTGTGTGGGCCTAAGGGTTCTTGACATCTATCGTTCCAGATATTGTTCATTTTCTCTGTCTCGCTCTCTCTGTGGGTATATATATATATATGCCAATAATAAATAAATAAAAGTGAACACCAGGGTAAAATCATCAAACTATAAAAGTTTAATACCAATAAACAAACGCCAAGCTTTCATCAGCTTCCACTGCTGACATCATCAGGGCTTAAGAAGCCAGTCCATAGGAGAGTCTTTTATAGGTTGAGTGAGGCCTGCACACGGCCCCTGGACCTCGTCACTGGCCCTGATTGCACAGGCTGCGTTTTAGCGGTGGTTTTCCCCCCACTGGCTGTTCTTATCCTGCAACCCTCACCGTACGTTCGCCTTCGCCTAACTCCTTTTCACCCGGGCGGGGGATGGGTGGGACATTCCCCCCTCCTGCTCTCCTCGGCCGTGTCCCCCGCTCTGCCTGCCCGTGTGATCTTGCCCTCCTGCTCCCTGTAGCGATCGAATCCACCCGGCTCGGGGTGCCTATTCCCTTTCCTGGAGTCCATCTGGTCCCAGCCACCTCGCTGCCGTTCTTACGGGCGCTTCCCCCCCTTTTTTCTCTGATCACGTCTCCCGTATCTCCTGTGTCTCTCAGCAACCCACCCCCGTCTTCCTTCCACTTGCCCCACCTGGGCTGGCTAGATTCATTCTCCCCCTTCGCCTCCTCCTTCCCTTCATTCCCTTCATCAGCCCCCTTCTCCTCACCCCCATATCCACCCCCCCTGGCAATGCCATCCTGTCCGGGTCGTTTCCTCCCCCTTTTCTTGTCTATTATGTTCCCTTCTCCACAGATGTGGATAGGGGCCACAATAACATCACATCTGACATGTACATGCAACATCACTTTTCCCTTCTCTCTGCATATACCCAAGTCCTTGGCCAGCTTTACATACTACATTTAGCTATACAGTTTGCCCAGCTTTGACTTAATGGGTTGTTTTGCATGACAGACTTAATGATAGTTAATTTAGCTATGATTTACTCATTTATTCAAATGACTCACTAAACAATATCATACCCATGAACTCTGGATTTATATATAAGAGGTCCCTTAAGAAAGAGTTCTATTCTTAAATCTGTCTTTAACTCAAATTTGTTTGTTAATTGACATTTGTACTTATGAATGGGCTGCATATTACTAAAAATGGGAGATTGCAATAGCCTTTCTTGAGCCTTTGAATTGCTGAAACTGAATAATATTTTCATGAACTGCTGAAAGTCACTGGAAACAGGCTGTATATTTAAAAATTACAACTTTAATAGACAGCCCATTTGTATGTGTATGAGTCATCCGTAAGTAGGCTGTTCTTACCTGGGGACTGCCTGTAATAGGCCTAATTAAAATGTGGTTGCCTAGTGCAGGGGTCTCCAACCTCCAGGCCGTGAACTGGTACCAGACCAGGGCCTGTTAGGAACTGGACCACGCAGGTGGAGGTGAGCAGCGGTAAACAAGCAAAACTTCATCTGCACATGTGTGGGATCTAGTTACATGTGAAACCATCCAGCACCCCCTTCCATGGAAAAATTGTCTTTCATGAAACCGGTCCCTGGTGCCAAAAAGGTTGGAGACTGCTGGCCTACTCAGAGTGAATTTATATCTCAGTGTGAATTTATTCTCTATAGCATTTATAAACTATACTTTATAATTGTGTGAATTCAGCCAAACTACAATATCATTAAATAAATCATACATTTCAGATAATGTGACTTTAGAATTTATGATAAAGTTATATTTATTGCAGGAACAGGACTGAAACTATAGGTTTTATGCAAGGATGAACCAGTAGAATTGTGTAGACTACATTATTAAACTTTAAATCTTATCATCCACTTAGTCAGTTAATACATAATTTATATACTTTGCTAAATAAGTTGTTTCAAATAGTTAAAATGTAGTTTGTACTTCATATTGGTGTGGATGGGCTAACAAACCACTCTCAAGAACATAGCATCTTCTGTAAGAATCCCTGAATTGAAAAAATGCCTTTTATAAATGCTTGCTAAGTAAGAAGGGGGGCATATTTGCATATCAGAAGCTTAGAAGGGAATTTTAAATGTATATCTGTTTGGTTAACCCATTTCTTTAAAATTGAGTAAGAACACAGTAGCATTAGGCAAAACAAAAACCTACTTCCAAACTCTATAGTGTTTATTGGCACATTTTATTTCACACCATTTTTAACATCAAGCAACTTTGAGACACATTTGCAAGTTCGCATTTTTCTCTAAGTCAGTTTAATGAACTATGTTTTGTTGAATAAGTCAGAATTAGCTAGGTTTATATACTAAACTAAAATAGAATCAAGCTGCCTGAGCTCACGCATCATGCTAATCCATAATGTGGTTTGCTTGTTTTTGGTCTAGCATGATACACAAATTGTAAGTCAATGTTTGTGGCTTTGAGCTCAACCATTTGGGATTACATACAATGTTGTTTAGCATGACACATAAATCCCATCCCCACCTTGAGGGGGTGTGTGGTGTGTGCAATAAACAAAATGTTTTTAATTAGTGTTAGCAAAGGGCTACTGATTTAAGCAAAGGAGTACAATCAGTCTTCGCTTAATAGTTTATTGAGTAAGCCACAATTTGGCTGGGTTTACACAATACATTAAACCACAAATAAACCAAATTTTAGCTCAGCATATTGGGATGAATCCAACCTTTGTGTTGCACCTAGCATTATTTAAATGTATAGCAGATCCATTTTAGGGAGCCAGTTTAGTGTCCATTTTAGAGAGCCAGTTTAATGTAGTGCTTAAAACATCAGGCTAAAACTGAAGATTATGAGTTCTAATACCCCCTTAGACACAAAACCAATCATTGTCTCTCAGCCCTAGGAAGAAAGCAATGACACACTACTTGTGAAATTTTAGCAAGAAAACTGCAAGATCTGGACCAGACAATCACTAGGTGTCAAGACTGATTTGAAGGCACCCCCCCCCCAATTTTTATTTAAGAAAGAGAATTTAAAGCAGTAGATTCGTGTGCATCTCTCTATTTTCCAAGGCTCTGTTCCAGCTTGGCTAGGTACAATCACAGCTGGTCAATACTCGGATGGTATTTTGCCAAGTGTCAGGGCAGTCATCAGATGCCCAGGCAATTGATTCTTTTGGGTCCAGAGACAATGAGCACTCTGATCAATAGATTTTAAGCTTTATTACTAGCTCAAGTAAATAGAATTATTAAAAGCATATATACCAAGCAAGATAATACCCAAATTTCTTGTAAGATGTCAGGAGCTCCTTAAAAATAGCAGAGGTACCCCTAACCTATTTAAGGTTAGATTCAGTTACAGAAGCTTCTCTCAAATAACAACAATCCTGCAGTTTTTTTTTATCAAAACTTGATAGCCCTGATATGGTCGGGACCTGACCTTGATTGGCTGGCACATGACCTGGGATGGAAATCCAGAGTGTGAGACTTTCACAACAGAAGCTTTGAGACTACCTGGTAATTTTGCCCAGCCCCTTCAGTAAGCAGGAATGAAAAACAAGTAGGTTAGGTCAGAATGAACTCTAAATTTCCAGACTTTTCTTAATATGAAGGAGAAATCAAAATATGTCACTAAACTCCTCCTAAAAACAATGGTCTTCTGCTTTGCCACTGTAGATGGAAGAAACGTCAGGGCTGGGGAATGAAAGGGATGTCAAGGAAAGAAGTCCAGAAAGCATCGCTGAGGCAGGCAAGAGTCGATTACTTCCCTACGCAAAGTGTCGTTGCTGGGAAACAACAGGTCCCTGTAATCCTCTGGGTTGAACTCAACTCCAGGGAGACCTTATTCTAAATATTCTAAATGCATAAACCGAGTCTTTAACTCATATTCGTCAGAAAGCAAATCCAAAGGAAGGCAGCGGGACTTAATTTATATTGGGAATCACTCTTTATTAAACCGGGAAAACTACTGTGGGTCAGATTCAGAAAAAAGACCTAAAAGTGAGATTTTGGAAAGCTGATGTTCACCGTTCTCAACAAAAAACAAAAACAAAACCCGCCCAGTTATATCCCTCTACGATGCTGTCGAGCGGGGCAATTGCCTCTCCCACAGCAGCCGGGCTCAGGTTCCCCCTGCCCCACCTCCCACAGCACGTCTGAAAAGGAAAAGGGCACCAAGAGGGGAAACAAGAAACGCGCCAGAGCGCGTGCGAGAGAAACTCTCCGGCGAGCCGGCGTCCACCGCTGCGGCCAATGAGACGGCGGAGAGGGGAGAGGGAGGCGGGGCGAGGGTGGATGGGCGGCCTCCGCCTTTAGGGGAGAGCGCGGGCCGGGCGGGGCCCCAGAGGAGCTTCGGGGCTGGGGAGCATCGGGGCTGCCCTTTGGTTGGCGGCTGCACGCGCGACTCCTGCTGCTCCCAAGGCAGGCAGGCAGGCAGGCAGGCAGGCACCTTTCCTTCCCGTCTCTTTCCCGGCTGCAGTCTTTTGTAGCGGGGCTTCCCCTTCCCTCCTTCTCCTCCTTCTCTCCGGTCGTCCCTCCTGGCAGCTCTCTACTCTCTTCTTCTTCCTTTTTCCCCTCTTTCCTCCCTCCATCCCCGAGTCTTTTAATCCCCTTTCCCCGACATCCCCCCCACTTCTCTCCCCTAGAGAGACTCCGCTCCCACCGCCTTGCCTTTCTTCCTCCGCCCCTCATTGTCTTCTGCAGCTTATTGCCCAATTTCCAAAGCAGGGAAAAACTCGGTATGGGCGAGGACGAGGCAGCCCCGGTGGCTCTCAGGTTCCCTTCCAGCGCCAGCTAGAAAAAGCGGGGCTTTTCGGGCTCGGCCAGGGAGGGTGAGCTATACGGCGGCAACCTCTTCTTGCGGCGGTAGCGGCGGCGATTGTCCCTCTGGTGATCCGCCAGGCGTCGCGTTGTTTTGGGGCGCTCGGCCCGTCGAGCCCGATGTGCGACTTGCTTGACTCGCAGCAGCCGGCCGAGAAACTGAGCAGAATGAAAAAGTTACGGCGAACTTTGTCGGAGAGTTTCGGCAGACTAGGTAAGGGGGCCGAAAGAGGGAGGGCGAGCGAGCTGGCATTCCTAAGCCCAGAGCCCCATTCCAACTATCGCCTCGCGGCTCAGTGGGTCAGTTTGGAAGCTGAATTGCCTTGAAATTTTGTTTGCTGCCAAGGAAGCTCCAACCTGTGATGGGTAGAGTGATGGGAGTTGTAGTCCAGCACCCTCTGGAGGCTGCCGGCTTGGCTAAAGTTATTTTCCTCATAGCACTCTGGCTCGCTGACCCTGTTTTCTGGCCGTCTTTTTCTGCATTGTAATAATATTTTGGAAAATTGATTTTTTATAAAAATGCACCCAGTTCAAACCGTTTTATGCAGAGATTGTCTTGCTGATTAAATTGAAACGATTAACAGCTGTTATGTCCCGAGAATTACAACATTAGCGTAGAAATGTGTTCTTTTCACTTTGACTTACCCTTAAAAAAACTTAGCTGCTATTGAGTTTTGATTGTGTTTAGCAGAATATAAACGGTCTGTAATCTGCTTTTACTTAAATTGCTGATGTAGTTTAACATGGAACATCTCCAAATAGGGTAATTGAATGGCAGCATACTCTCTTCTTAAAAAAAATGAAATTAGATTGATATTAATTTGTTATGAACAATTGAAAAAACTAAACAAGAGTAGAAAGTACTTTGAATTAATTGAAAATTATTTTTTAAAATGGATTCAAATACCTTCAAACTATGCTTTTGAAAAAGAAGATGTTTTGTTTCCTATGGATGAATGTTAAGAAAATATACTTTTCTTAAGAAGGCATATAAAAAAGTGTATGAACGTAGACTAACTGCCGTTTTCTAATGCATGTTTTAGTGGATTTGCTGTCACATGTTTCAGATGACCCAATTGTAATTTGTTTCATTCTTTTGTAATGCAAGATTGAAGGATTCCTTACAAAGGATATGGAAATAAAAAAAGGAAAGTTTATCAAAGGGGATGAAAATAAAAAAATAAATTATCAAAAATAAATGAAGGATATTATAATAAAATTGTTATACCAGATCAATAATAGAGGTGATAGTTGTAAATTGTATTTAGAAAAAAAACTGTTCTATTGTTTTAATAGAATCAGAGTGTTTCTCTTCTGGAATATCATTTATGAATGTGTGAGAGGAAAAAAGGTTCCAATTGCTTGCATACTTGAAATCGCTCAGTATCCCTTCAGGCCAGAATGTACTTTCTAGAATTAGTTCTCCCAGTTGTGAGATGGAACAAGTTACAAATGTAAACTAATTGTGTTTCAGAAAAGATGATCTAAATGGAGTAGTATGTGAACTGCATTTGAAAACTGGGATTTACATAAGATAAGATAACCTTTATTGTCATTTTTTTTTACTGTGGACACACATCAAAAATGAAATTTAGTTGCCGCTCTCAAAGTGAAACACATACATGACACACACCTAAACATACTATACACAACATATGTATAGACCCAATTCCTGCACCATCATCAATAATAATGATTTCTGTAACAAAAGGGATCTCCTTGGCCTTTAGGCGATGGATACCTTATTCAATAATAATAGTAGGAAAATGAAAATGCTTCCAGACGGCTTAGTGGTAAGACAAAAATCGGAAATCCCACTAATTTCCTAGTATAAAAATCTTCACTTGCCCATTAATTTGTGATTTAAGTTGTTTGGAATTTAAAGTGCTACAGATTTGGTACTTCACCAAAGGTATTTGCAAGTTTTCCACAGTATAAGAAAAAGCTTACTGTGTGCATTGTACCTTTTATTTATGTTATTTTATTTTTATTTAGCCAAATTAGCCACTAGAAGTTGCTCAGAAATTCTCTTACCTCTGCTGGCCCAATGTTCCTGTCATCTTTTGGCACCTTGCTTTGTAAATATAGAAACACCTTTTGGATGACACTACATGATGGTGTGTCATCAATAAAAATGTATATAAAAAGGTGTCATATTTACATAAGATGCTCTACAGCCATCTCCTAAATTATTCATAGATTTCTCTTTATTCATCTGAATAAGATATCAGAGAATACATAGGAATGTAGGATAAGCCTTCTACTTGAAGCAAATTCATTAGGATGCAAATTGATTTAATGTTGCTTATTATATTTATATCCTGCTTTTCCTTAAGCAACTCAAGGCAGGCAACATTTTTTCACTTTTTTTACAGGTTGGCAAATACAGTGTCAAATCTGCCTTTTAAGTACATGTTAAGCTATCTTCTGGTCAGAATAAGGGATGTGAATATTAGGTAGATTATAGAAAGGGATATTGAAATTTGGAAAAATTCTAATTGCTTCTATTGAGCTAAACTAGTCTCTGTATAGTTCTTTCTGATTAATGTAAATTATATTCAAAGTTATCTGCTAGTTCTATGAGGTTTCCTTGAAATAAATAAATCCTATCTAAATGTTCAGTTGTGATATGAAGATCTAAGGAATCAGTGAATTTGAACATTTCAGGTCAGCTTTCCTAAAATGGCTCATATCTTTCAAAATTCCAGTAAACATGACCTTTGGTATCACTGTGGGCCAACATTTTGGGAGCAATTGAGAAAGCCTGTTTCAGATCAACTACTAAAAAGGAAATGAGTGAATGCCCTTATTGTATACTGTTACTATCAATTACATTACTCATAATTATTCCTAATTTAATTTTTGGGCTGCTTGAGGAAGTACAAAACAATTTTTGCTTGAATTAAAACGGAAGAATATCAGAACCTTCATACTGTTATACAAAATTGCTTGTGGCTCTGGATGCTTTAAGTGCAAATAATTCTTTTTCACCTGGGGACTTACTTCTCCTACTAGAGAAGACAGAACTATTTGTCAGACCCAGTTGTAGAACTGAATCTTTAGTGTGGATGTTAGGTGGTTCCATTACAAAATAAAGGCATGTCTGATGTCAATAATAACAGCCCTGGGGAGGATTTCTAAATAGCATTTTATCTGGTCTAAATCTCTGATTGATACTAAGCACCTGACAGTACAGTAATGGTGTTCTTGCTAAAGGGCTGAAAAATCAGCAAACCATTCAGATAAATAAAAAAGGGCCCATTAGTCCTGACCTGTTACTCCCGTTTATAGTGTTTAATTATTTTAATGCTTGAGCAAAGTGTTTTGCTTCAAGCACTTTGTTGTAGACATTGCAGATTGCTGTAGGAATGCATTTCATTCATTAATTATAAGAACTTGAGCTTCCTTGGCTAAACCTTGTGGAGCTATATTTTATTTCCCACACTGGCTAGCTGGCCAGCTAGCCCTAAAAAACCTACTAATGGTGGCCTTCTCAAGCTGTTGCCACCCAGCAGCTGCTGTTTGTTGGCATTCTGCCTTAAACCCTGGGTGGTCTGTTTTTGACTCATACTTAATAGTCATTGATAGACTTCCTCCCTGAATCTGTTAATTTGCTATTGAAGCTAGTGGGTACTACAATATCATATTGCAATTATTTCTATAAATGAATTATGCATAATGTGAAGTACTTTCTTCTGTCCGGTCACTTTCATTGAATGTGTAATACATTATTAGGTGAGAAAAATCTATTGTGGATAATTCTATTTTAAAAAAAAATCGTAAAGTAACTTGTTCTTTTTAAATCTAACAAGCCCTCTGTGCATCAAGCATTAAAGTCCCAAGCAAATTACGAATTTTGTGAACTTCTTGTTTTTTCTGTTGTCAGCCTGTTGCTACACAGTTTCATTAAATGTCACTTGAATTTCAGCTTTATGAAAAACTTAGATGTTTTTCTTAAAGTAACATCATTAGATAATTCATCTTTAAATATCTGACACATGTGACTGCTCTGTGTCTTTTATGTTAAGTGAGATCTATCTCCTTGATTTTTTTGAGTCAGAAAAGGGTTTTACATTTATTATTAACATACTTTTCTATACTACTACTGTTGCTAGTATCTGTTTCTGATTGGAGTGACAGACATGCATATATTCTGACTCTGATAATGTCAGCCTTACCAGATAGACTAGACAGGAAACATGGCCAGATAAGATAATTCTGCTTTATTGTAAAGTTTCATTAAGAGCATCTTACAAGTCTCAAAGTATATTTCTTCTTATATCACTTATACAGCCCAATAATTTAGGGAGGGTCCCTTCCGAGCCTCTAGCTCTCTCAACTCTGCAGCTGTGGGCTGTGTTCCCTCTTATCTGACTGTTCCCTAGGCAAGCATCGCTTTGCTTGGCATCCCAAGGTCATTCTCACATAGCATTTCAGATATGGAAATTAATGTGTGGTGAATTACAGTAGTATGGAATTTTATAACTTAAAATTATAATTTTTCAAACTTTAATGATATTAATTGAGTGACAGCATATTAGTGAGATCTTAATTTTTTATCCAAGCTTTTCTTTTATTTAGAGCTAAAGCAGCATATTTAATGATTTAATTCAAAATCATTTAGTAATCTCTGCCTTGAATTAGGTTTTAGTAATTTTAGAACTTTAGAATTAAGGTTAGTCAGTATTTTAGAGCCTCGAGTCTCACAGCACTGGATGCCTGCTGGTGATGAGAAGCAGCAAGGGGCTATAAGGATAGGGGGAAAAGTGATATCAATCAATATTTTGGATTAGGAAATTTCTGAAAATGATTTATAAAGAGGAGTATATTCTTGGCACAAAGCTAGATTCCAAGCACAAAACCACAAAAATTTTCTATAGGTGTTTACATTCCTCTATGGTAGTAGGACAAAATTACAAGCAGTCCTTTAGTTACAACAATTTTGTTGAGCTCTTCATTAAAAGTACTGTTTTTCCTTTGAGGATTCCTCTTCATTCTTCAGATGAAACTGATTCTGAGCATATGTGAGGAATAATAGGTAGGAAACTTGTTTATGTGGCTCATGGTGCTTTTACAGACACACCTCTTGCTGTGGCTATGCCCATATTTTTTTTTTAAAGAAATGAATAAATGGAAAATGGAAAAGGTGATTTGTTACAGAACAACCACCATTCCCTAGCATTTTTTTTCAAAAATAGTAATTCTCAGCTCCATATGAATCAGAAAGGTGGTGTCTCCAGCTCAATGCTTTGAACAGGTGACCCTTTACTCAGGTAAAGGCAAGGATAAACTGTAGTGCTAAAAAGCTATGTTGTTAAAGAGAAGAGTGAGTTTTCCTTCTTATTAATGCCTTATGTGGCAGCCATCTGGTAAGAGAACCCAGAATGTACTTCCAAAAGTACACTTGCTCTCACTGATGATCTTTTTGTTAATAAACAAGGCTCTGGTTTTATTTTCTGTCCCTTGAAACTTGATTATTATGGTGTGTTGAGCTGTACAGGATATGTATAAAAGCAAAAAATGGTGTGGTGTTTGAAGATACTATCATACAGGAAAGCACAAATCTGTCAGGTTTCAAGTCCACATGTAACTCTCCTTGCTTGAGAAAAGCTACAGAGAACAATTTGTTGTTTGTACTGTATGTTGTTGTTTTCCAGCACTGCCTCAGTTTTTATTAGATGAAGCAGATCTGTGGCCTGTTATTATTTGCTCAGTACCTCTCCATTTATTCAGCAGTTCAAGCAGAATATGTAGCACCTCTTCCTTTTTCCCCTCTCTCATAACATTTGTTCTTAAAAATAGCGTAAATTATAACTTATATACAGTGAAGTGAAGTGATTTTATTCAAGTTAAGTTTAATAATAACTACAAAAAAATATTTGTTTTTTTTAGCATTTTGTACGAATAATGTAAGCTAATTAGATAACAAATTATCTCTTTTTTTCTAGCCTTGAACAAAGATGATAATGGCTTTGATGAGGTAAGTTACATTTTCTATTTCAAATTTTTTTTAACATATATTGGGCAAAATATTACAAATTAGAAAGATGAATTAAAAAGAATAATAGCGACTAAAAAAATTATTTATACAACACAAACACATAAACCATGAAAAAACTACAGAAAACAAATTAATGTAATTTGATATAATTACATTTCTAATTGTAAGAATACTCAGTTTTAAACATCCATATTGAACACTTCTAATTCAAAAAGGTGTATGTGTAGATGGAGTAATATGTTATGCTGATTTAATCTATAAAAAATACCAAATAAAGAAATATAAAATATTTGTTGCTATGTTAGTTTTTTTTTAGCCATTTCTTTTTGATACTTTTAATTATCACTAATGTAAAGAAAGATGTACTTTAATTTTTCCAGTTTTTGCTGCAGCAAATTTATAGGAAGGAAACTGAATAATTTTTATATTGCACTATTTTATATTTTCTGAAGAATATGGCTGCATTAGAATTATTTATTAAACACTTTTAGTAGTTTTACCAATGTCTTCAAAAACTCCTAGCCAAAATGAGTAACAAAGGGGTTAATGACACTTTTTGGTAGGAATATGAAATAAAAGGCTTCTCTCAATAGAGGCTGTAATACACTTTTAAGGAGATGTAGCATGATTTGCTATTTTTATAGTTGATGATTTCTAAAATAAATTTAAATAATATTTTGTATTGACTCATCAAATTTCAAATCCCAAGTGATTTCCTGTTCATTCAAACATTTTGAAGAAAGTCTGTTCTATTTAATATAAGAATTTCTAAAGTAGTGATGAAATTATTCCGGTTTAAAGTGTTTTAGAAATCCACTATACTTCATACATTGTTTATATCCTTGTTTTATAAGATCTTATGAGTTGAAAAAGAAATTATTGAATATAGTTGCTTAAAACCACATTAGAACTTGTGACCACTTTTTCTGCAGAAGATACTCAACAGAAATCCTCTTTTAAAAAGAGATTTATGAAGAATTAGGACCACCAGTTAGGTTTCAGCATATAAGGTTTGTTCAAGCCTATACACAAGAATCTGATCAACTAAAGTTTAACACTAAACTGGCACCAGATAAAGGTCAACTGAATTCAGGGGGGGGGGTTGGACCTGAGCACTTGTGGGTACACAATGTCTCTAAATTGGTAGTGCACTTAACTCCCTAACTCTGTTTGCTGTTCTTCTACAGGAATCATATTTTTCCATGTATTTAAATTTAGATGGCCTATGAATACAATAAGTTTTAGAGAGGTTCTTCAAAACATTAAAGTAACTTTAACATATGAATTTGTGATAGAGAATATTAATTTATTTCAGAAAATTGAAGAATTGTCCTAAAACATTGCACTCTTTGAGTTAATTAATGTGAGTTGTTTCAACTTAAAAGTAGGCAACTACTTAATTTACAGTTCCATTCTGGAATGTTCCGAAGGATTCTAGAATGCATCATTCCTTATTGGCTCTTTTCTGACCCAGCTATTCCAGAAATAATTTATAAATTTTCTGGAAGTTAGTTTTCTGAACCAGAAATGATTCTTGTTCTAGATGAAAGAACTGAATTGGCTTTTGTTTTTACATGTTGTTACTAATTTTTTTTTCAGTTTTACATGTTCTTACTGAAAATTATATCATCATAAACAAATCTCCATGATAGTTTATTTATTTAATTTGTTTGATTCTGAATTTTTTAAAATAATCCCATACCTATAGAGGGGAAAAAAATCCTTGTTATGTGTTGAAGCAAATAATAGATGAAGGGATTAGAAGAATTTGAAACAAATAAAAATTTATAAAGAATCTGTAATTTAATTATAGTTATTGTGTGAAGCAATGGTGAAGGAGATAAAACATATTATGTTTTTCAACTAATAAATGATGTGATAGTATCTCGTGAGAATCTATTGTATAATGCCATAAAATTACCAACAATAAAGGTTTATGCCTAATTCCGAGTCATTTACCTCTTTGCTTTAATTTGTCACTGGCTTCCAAATGAAGGGTTATCCCTATTGTTTAGATAGGCTGTTGCCTTAGGCAGCAACTTCGATTCCATCTGCTTTAAGACTATGTTTTGATCTTCTGTTCTCTGAAAACTGAGAAGCAAGTGGATACAGTTAATGTGAATTGGAACTTAAAGGAAATGGAATATGGCACTCTGGAAATCAGGTTGTCTGGAATGATGAATTCAGTGAATCTCTCTTTATACTGAATTTGTGAAAGTACAGAAATTACGTCAAAGCGTAAGCCCTATAATTGTTTCGTTAAAAGCCTAAGTCATAAATTCTGCAACCAGACCTATACCAGGCTGTTCTTTTAATTGTATTATAAATCTGGCATGCTTCTAATGCTTTGTTTCTTCTCTCTGGAAGTGACTAGAATGTTTATAAAATTTACAGGATGTTAAGAGTTCCTTAGAATTTTTTGATATAGGAAGAAAATATTAAACTGTACTTAAAATACTTGTCCCAAATTAAATCTCAAGTGAGACAAAACTTTTTTTTGCTCTTTAAATGGATTAATGGATGCTTCCTTATCTTTGTGGCCTGCAAAGCATATACTATTATCAATTGTATAAACATAGGTTTTTTTTTTGCAGTGTAAGAATCTGGTACCGTTCTACTAAATATATAGCTCAATATAACTAGAAAAAGAAAATATTTAGGTGATATTTAAATGAATTTGCCTATGTTCTGTGCATCTGCAAATATATATGTACTCTAATCATAAGGCAAAATACATATACAAGTAGTCTTCAATTATGACTTCAATGGAGCACAAAATTTTTATTGTTAAGTTTTAAATGAGGTGTGCCCCATTTTATGATATTTTTGCCATAGTTGTGAAGTGAATCACTGCAATGATTAAGTGAATCATGTGGCTAATAAGTGAATTTGGTTTTGCCCATTGGCTTTGCTTGTTGGAAGCCAGATGGGAAGGTTACATATGATGATTGCATGACCGCGGACAGGACAACTATCATAAATACATGTCAGATGTGTAGTGCCTGAATTTTGTTTACATGACCATGAGATGCAGCAACTGTTGTAAGTGTGAAAACCAATCATAAGTTACTTTTTTCAATGTCAAGTAACTTTGAACAGTCACTAAATGAATGGTTGTAAGTCAAGAACTACATGTATAGCCATTTTACTAGTCCTTTTTTTGGGCTGGGCAATATTGTATATCCCCCAGAAAATGTAAACAAAAATAACCAGTATGAGAGGAAAACATACACTGATTCATACATAATTTTTCTCATCTAAACTTCTCAGCTTCCTCTTTTTGAGGATTTTATCAGCTCTATTCAAACATAATTTTATTGGTCTTCCTCCTTACTCTTCACTCTTCCTTCATATATATTTCTTTTGCAATTCCATCTTCCTCCTGTTTCTCTGTTTTTTATATGTTATTTACTTTGGGGTAAAATTCATATTCATATATATATACATACATACACACACATATATACATACAAACATATATATACAAAGAAATCTGAATATATATATATATATATATATATAT